GAAATGCAGTTGTATACATCCTTGGAAGTGGTAGTGTGAGTGTGCCCTCAGTGAGAGGGCGTCTCAGCCCTGTGGCCAGTGAATGTCACACTCCCTTGGGTCGGGCACTTTTCTTGAGGATACATCGTTTCTTACCCATCTACTCGAAAAGTTTTGGGCCTACCGGTAGCAGTGTCCACACAGGGCAATTTTTACTACTGGATCTCTGAGTCGTCCTTGGTACTACCGTGAAGTTATTCCCCAGTTCCCACAATCTCGAATTTAATTGAATAATCTGTTAATCTCCTCTCCTGAAGGTCAGCACAAAAAAAAAAAAAAAAAAGAGGAGAGAAAACATATTCAAGCTTTCACGAGGATTTGTTTTGCCATGCAGATGTTTTGGAATTTTCCCATTTCTGAGGGCAGCGATGATCCGTTGCGCTGTGCACAGCATTATTGTACAGGCTGGCGATGAGAGCAAGTTTCTCATCCCAGTCTACCTGATTAGGCTTGATGTAATGCCTCAGCAGGTGTTGTACAGCGCGGTTTAACTGCTCTGCTTGCCCATTCGCTTCTGGATGGTTCCCTGATGCCATCTGCAGCTGCGGCCTTCCACAGTTCACTGGTCAATCGCACATCACGGTCACTGACTATAGACTTTGGCAATCCAAAATCTCTGACCCAGTTCTCTTTGAAGAGTTTAATCACATACTCCGTTTTAGCTGTTGCCTACTGAAGTCCATGGACAAACTCTCACCACGCCTTTCCAGAATCGGAAGGGGCTTCAGAAGCCCAAGAGGAGCCTGTGCACATGGCTTGTCCCTCTGACAGACCTGACAAGTCTCCACATACAACTTTGCGTCTTTCATCATCGTGGGCCACCAGAACCTCTGCAGCAGATTGGCTGCTGTCTTTTTATAGCCAAAATGTCCGGTGGCGTCATGACACTTTCCTAGAAAAAAACTACGCGGCACACACAATCGTTTATTCCCGGCCTTCTCAAGAAACAGCAGATCGTTGACCAACTCAAACTCGGCAGAAGTCACCTTGTCCTTCGCCTCGAGTCTGAGTATGATCTCGGACATGAACTGGTCCTCGCGATATGCTTCCACCAAGGAGCGAGTGACGTTGTCCGCAAGCTCGAACTCGGTGATCAGCGCACCAGAGAAGTCAGGCCTACGCTTTAAGGCATCAACAACTTTATTGTACTCCCCTTTCAGATACTGCGGTTCAAAGTCATATTGTTCAATGACTTCGATCCAGCGCTTCAATGCATCGGAGAGCACTGGCTGGGTTCTCATCCACTTCAGGGTCTAATGGTCAGTCCTGACGATGAAGAACCTCCCAAGGAGGTAATGTCTCCAATGGGTCAATGCCTTGTAAATCGCGTAGAGCTGCTTGTCATAGGTGGACTTAGCCAACTTCTGAGACGGCATCTTTTTGGACATGTACTCTACTGGCCTCAACTTTGCCCCCTCCTGTTGTGCGAGCACGACACCAATGTCGTATTGGCTGGCATTCGTGGTTACTATGAACGGCTTGTCAGGATCAGGAAGTTTTAAGACCTCATGGTATGTCAACGCATGCTTCAAATGTGTGAAATCAGCCTCACACCTGTCTGTCCACTCCCATGGGGTGTCAAGGCGAGTCAGGTCAGTCAAAGGGGCGGCCACTATACTATAGTTCTTCCCAAAATTGCAATAGTAGTCGGTCATCCCTAAGAAAGACCTCATCTCAGTCACAAACTTAGGACGCGGCCAGTCACGAATGCTGGCCACCTTCGCGTCATCGGGCTTCAAACCCTCTGCGGAAATCTCATGACCCAAGTACAAGATCCGGGTGCGACCAAACTCGCATTTCTCCCCGTTGATCTTGAACTTGTGCTGCCGAAGGAGACTGAGGACTTTGTCTAAGTGCGCAACATGCTCCTCGACAGTCCTACTAAAAATAAGTATGTCATCGAGGTACACGATGACAAACTTATCCAAGTAGTCATGAAAGATCCGATTAATAGCGTGTTGAAAGGTGCCAGGAGCATTGTAGAGGCCAAAAGACATCACCACAAACTCATACAGACGGTACCTGGTCTGAAATGCGGTTTTGCGTTGATCCTCGGGCCGGATTGCAATCTGATGGTATCCAGACTTCAGATCTATCTTACTGAAGTAACGGCACCCTTGCACTCTATCTAGCAAGTCATCGATGCGCGGTAGGGCCTCTCGGTTCTTGTCAGTGATCGCATTGAGGCCCCTATAGTCAATGCACATCCTCAAGAGTTCCCCCCTTCTTCGGCACAAATAAGACTGGGGATCCGTAAGGGGAGAAACTCGACCGGATCCAACCCTTCTCTACGAGTTCCTTGAGTTGCCGACGAAGCTCATCAAGCTCGCCAGGAGACATCCGATAGATCCTACTCTTCGGGATGCTAGACCCTGGGATAATCTCTATTGCGTGGACGACCTTCCTCTCAACAACCCCTTTCGGCTCTTCAAATAGATCAGGGTATTTAGCAACTACTCCCTCTATCTCGGACGACATTTTCACCGGCTCGCCTGCGGCAGAGACATAGACTAGATACATACCCTCCTCCGGATTTTGCTTATAATAGTTATAGAACGAGGCAGCACACATGCATCCGTAGGACTCAATCAGACTACTAGCTTTGAACTTACGTAATATGGCGGTCCCCCCACCTAGCAAAGTGTGCTTAACCACTTTTCGGTACCAGTCAAAGTGGGGCTGTGCAACGGAGAGGTATTACATACCTAACAAGATATCCATAGGGAGATCATCGCTCACTAGGAATGAAACGCGATGTCTCAGTTCCCCTCCCGCGTACGGGAAACAACACTCAACGTTCTGTAGGTAGTCGTGGACTACCATGCGCTGTTTGTTGGCACATGTCGACTCAGGCGCTGCACTTGCCCCTGTAAGCGCAGCCTCTCAACGCACGCGCAAGTAATGAAGTTCCTAGTCAAGCAAGTGTCATAATAGGCCCCGGCCTTACGGCCGCCGATGACTACCTTGCCGACGAACATCTCACTCCTAGGGGCTTTTGCCAATGCCATCCAAGAAGCTAGCGGGTCTGATTTGGACCACTCCTCTAGCTCCTCTAAGGACTCAAACACATTCATCGAACAGAGGCTCGATGGGTCTGAATGTGTTTGCGGGACGACGATGGAGTAAATAGCTTGGGCCATCTCTCGAGATGGTGAAGGTGTGTCCACCACCTCGATCCTAGCAGGAACAACTAGTATTCCTACTGGCCCGACACGTTTATCGGAGCAGTGCCAAAACTGCTGGCCACATTGCTACCAATGGGAGCGGAGGATCCCAACGCCTGCCCCATCGTAGGCGGGATCTTCTCGGTCACCTTCTTATTGCGACACTTGAATTGGTTGTGGCCATATTGACCACAACGAATACAGGTCTGCCTGGTGTACCCGTCTCTCCACGCGTTCTCTGTGAGTCCCGCTTTCTCCTATAGAGGAGCATTGGGGTCTACTTGACTCCTGGACCGGGAACCTTCGCGGCGTCTACCGGTCGCCTTACCTTTTTGAACTGAGGCAGCGACTACTCCACCCCCTGAAGCTTTTACGCTGCCTGCCTCTGAACCCACTCCCGCCTGGAAGTCGTCGTCCAACTCGAAGGTAGAACCATCGTTGTCGACGAACATGATGCGGCCCTTCGCCTTCCAGCTGGGAGGTAGTGACTTCTTCCTACCATCCGTCGTGGGATTCTGACCATGCCCTATCTTTGCTTCAAGGTCTAGGGCCTTCTTGCTAAGCGAGGGGAAGTTGTGCATGTTGATGTTGGCCTCACCTGCCAACTGATTCCTGAGAGGCATAGGAAAGCATCTTAGGTAGGAGGTGAGTAGAACCTGGGGGTCATAGCGCACCCCAGGGACACAGATCAGACGCTCTACTGCGTCTGTGGCCTCTCTTACTGACTTCAACTGCCTGTTATGCAGAGTCAGGATCGCGTCAGTGGCCTTTTGAGCCTCCTGAGGATCATGCCACCTGTCTTCCACCAACTTAAGGAAGTCATCCAACTTCTGGTTGACTGCCCAAGCGCGGAAGTCATGACCGTATCCCTACAACTGCACTGAACCACTCAACCATCTTGTTGCACTCCCCTCTAAGTATGAGGCAGCCACAAGCACTTCCTCGTGCGACAAGGTAAGTTTACACTTAACGTAGACTGGCACTGACCTCAACCACGTGTCGAGGTCTTCACCCCTCTTGTCCCCTGTGAAGGGTTTAGGAGCAGCGATGGCCGTCTTTGGAACCCACTGACTTTGTCCCAGCACCTGTCCCCCTCCAGGCTGTGGACCTTGGGAACCAGGCTGCTGCACTATTTGTTGTTGGGGCTGTGTACCCTACGGCTGTGCAGGCTGCGAGACAGCAGGCTGCCCGCTTATGGCAACCTGCGACGGAGGTTGGGAAAACACTGTCTGTACAGGAATCTGTACACTAGGACCTGTTGAGAACCCGCCTGTTACAGGCATACCCAGGGAAACGGGCTGGACCGATGCTGGAGTTGTATATGGGGACACCCCAGTCACCGGTGGGACAAAAGGAGGAGGATGTACAACAGGCCAGACACTCGGCCCGAACGGCGATGGTGCCGTCGGCGCTCGCCCGACCAACACGGCCAGACTTTGTTGGATGTCCTGTAAGATCGTCGTCTGGTGATCTTGCATCTCTACCACACCTAGCAAGACCGCCCTTAGGGTCCTCATATCATCATCCAACTCTGCTGGGTCCATCTCCTCTAACTCGCTAATGTCCGCTTATCCGTTGCATCCTGGCTCTTCTTCTAATCATTTTTTCCTTCTCTGCCTTAATCTCTCCCAAAGCCTGTTGTAGCTATGCCTCGCGATCAGCAGCTCGCTGTATGGTGACCTCTTCAAGAGTCATCACTAATGGCTGGCTTGCCATCACACCAGCGGACTGACTCTGGGTCTGTGCGACCGTTGACCCTACAGCCCCTGAACTGCTAGTATGAGAGCTCTGCTGCGCTAACGCCAATGTCTCCGCTGTATCCTGGCTCTTCTTCGAATCGTTCTTCCTTCTTTGCCTTAATCTATCCCAAAGCCTGCTGTAGCTATGCCTCACGATCAGCAGCTCGCTGTATGGAAACCTCTTCGGGAGTCATCACTAGTGGCTGGCTTGCCATCACACCAGTGGACTGACTCAGGGTTTGTGCGACCGTTGACCCTACAGCCCCTGAACTGCTAGCCTGAGAGCTCTGCTGCGCAGCAGTGGCCATGGCTGCTGAAGTAGCGGCCTCACTAACGAATGCCCTGCTTGCCTCTGCTGCCCTAGCCCTCCGCTGCTGCTGCTGTATCTCTCTTTGCTGACGGAACAGGTATCTATCGCCCTTTGGTCCTAGCGCCAAGTGGTGGTATATATATACTGGTCTATATATCATCAAACAGAGCTTCCCGGTAAACCGTAGGCAGAGAGGGAGAAGAGGACAACAAACGTGGGGCTGTGACAAACTTTTTTTTTTTTTTTTTTTTTTGTCGGAGTTTCGTCAAACAGAGCTGCCCGGTAAACCGTGGGCAGAGAGGGAGAAGAGGACAACAAACGAGGGGCTATATATATATACCCCAAGCGTGGACCAGCCTGTTGGAAGGTCAAGCTGGTGGGAAAATGATCTCCTCTTTTTTGTATCGTATCTCATTTTAAAAGAGAAAAATATTTGGTCTGTACAGAAGCATCAGTCTGTGACAAGTCGGGAACATGGATTCCTTATTTTGCCCGAGGGCCTCACCTGACATTGCTGACAACAACAGAAAAACAAACAGACAAAAAGAAAGAGACAGAAACAAAGGGAAGAGCTCACAGACAGTCAATCATCAGCACTTTCGTGTATTTAAAGTTCAGAAACATGCACAAAAAAAAAAAAAAAAAAAAAAAAAAAAAAAAAAAAAAAAAAAAAAAAAANAAAAAAAAAAAAGGAACACAAAGCATCAATCAAAGGGCAACAGAAAGATTCAAGAGCGAAAAAAATAAAAAATAAAAAAAAAATAAAATGAAAGAAAGAAAGAAAGATTCAAAAGCACCTATCATGCTCTGCACCTCCTGGGTGTGTCTGGAAAATCCCAACCAGACTGTTGAGTTTTTTTCAAACATCTGATCTCTGACATTAGATGTTGGTCTGACAAAGCTTTTTTTTTTTTTTTTTTTTTGTCTGACAAAGCATTGAGTCGTTGACTTTCTTTTTTTTCTTTTGAAAGATGGACAGAGGTAGCTCCCAACCGTCCTCCCCTCGAATAGAAGGCACACCCATTATCGCTGCATCTGGACTCAACATTGTTCGAAATACAGCCATAAGGACAGTGCGTTCTATTTGGGGATGACCATGGTGTCTGACAGATACATACACGGGCCATCTAACTGACGGTAAACTGAGTGTGAGTTCGAATCCTGACAGATACAATAACCAAAGAGGAGGGGCTAACCCAGCTCTGTTCTGGGAAAAGAAAAGTTCAATAACGTAGTAGAGTAGTAGAGTCCCTTTATGATCAGGAAAGTAAAAAGGGGAGACAACCATCTTCCTCAGAGCAGGGGTCGCCGCATATGTATCTGACCAGAAAAATGTGCGAAGAACGGATATAACAACCCTGCAATGCCTGCATTGCATTGGCAGAAAGAATCCAGAAGCAATGACCTGATGTTGCATGTGGGGGAATATGTTGGAAACACAACTGTCAAGAAACTGTGGCCCCACCTGTGGTAGTCTGTGGCAACCTTTCTTGAACCTCATCCTAACTTATCACTCTCGAGTCTCAACAGTGCACGTGGAGGGCATGAAGTCTCACACACAGAGAACCAAATGAATCTATGTAAGATCATCCACATAGATTGCCAAAAAAACATAAGGAGAGAGAGAGAGAGAGAGAGAGAGAGAGAGAGAGAGAGAGAGAGAGAGAGAGAGAGAGAGAGAGAGAGAGAGAGAACCTTTCTTGAACCTGGTCTTCATCCTAACTTATCACTCTCAACAGTGCACGTGGAGGGCATGAAGTCTCACACAGAGAGAACCAAATGAATCTATGCAAGATCGTCCACGCAGATTGCCAAAAAAACATAAGGAGAGAGAGAGAGAGAGAGAGAGAGAGAGTCACACAACTACTACTGATTCATCTCGAAAATAGAGTGGATCGGGACTCGAGAGTTGCGAGAGCCTCCATGTCCTGTGAAATGGAGGCCTCGCTCCGCATAACTATCGATCAGCAACACTCTCAATTCTTCTTTTTTCCCCCCGAAGAAAAAAAAAAACAAGAAAAGCAAAAAAGATTAACAGCTGGGTCCCAACGCACATCCCGCTCTTGAGAATAGGGGCTGGAGGAGAGGGCGCTCATTTTATTTCTGAGAGTGT